CGATTTTTTGTCGTTATTGGGTTTAACTTCTCTAGAACCAAACCTAATGAACCCCTACATTTCTGGCAGTCCCACAGCTATTCCTTCAATTAGCCAGGCTCAGAACATAAAACTCACGTCTCTCTCCTACTCCCCTCCATTCCTCACATCTACTTGATTGATCCTTTTTCATTCTTACTCTCTTCCTGTTTTACTCCTCCCTCCTCTCGGCCACCCATAATTTATCAGGTGCTCATTAAAACACACCTAGACTTGTCTTTAATTAGATCTCTTTGCTTCTTTCCACCTCTCCCCCCACCGAGAGTCCTGCCCATGGCACCAGATTCCTCATCCATGTAATTCCTTTCCTTGTGTAATGACAAAAGACCCAGGAGCACACAAGATTCCCAGCAGCCTTTCTGTCCTGGTATTTCAAATAGGCACTGCCGTCCTCAGCAAACCCAGGGTTCCCCTCTGCTGTGGGTCTGAGGCGGGTGGAGTTCTCTACCCTCCCCTGACCAGATGGTGCTTATGCCTCCCCCCACCCCCACCTTTACACTCACGGTGCCCAGTCAGAGCCACACTACAGAGCCCCATTACCTCCTTAAAAAGTTTGCTGATATTTCTGGCTGACACTGATTCGTTCCTTCTCTGGCCTTCTATAGGCCCAAGGACATTTAGGTAAGATGGGTGTACCATGAAGCTAACGAGGCTTACATTTGAGGACCGCCTTACTTGGACAGCCCACTCCAAGACTGTATACCTCATTTTTATTTGTAATTGTGTATTTTTTCCTTAAAGAAGATCTTCCAAGTTGTAAAAGCCTCAGGTCCTACATAATCTGGAATTTAGGTAGTTAATCATATTCTTTTGAAGTATTTTGTTTCCCCAACTTGGTCTGAGCTTCTCGCTACACAATGTTGTATAATGTATAGTATGGTGGTTAAAAGGGTCAAAGGGGGCATTGGTGGAGACCCCCAGACCTACATCCAAAAATTACCTCTGCCATTTCCTAGCTATGTGGCATGTTTTATTTCTTAACTTGATTGAGCCTCAGTTTCTTTATCTGTTAAGTGGGAATGTTTATAGTGAGGGCTGCATCATGACTTTCTAAGGCCTAAGGCACTTTTGCCCTCATGAGACACTTACTCCATTAAAAAAATTATAAGCTGAATTGCTTTGCTGTACACCTTGAAGCTAGCATTGTAAATTGACTACACTTAAAGAATAAAAAAATTTTTGTAAAAAGAAAATTATATTTTATGGCTGTGTGAGTATGAAGACTAACATCCTGGGAAGAGCATCTTCCTTTGTTTTCCCTTCTGATTCTAAAAGAAGCTATAACATGTTCATGGACCCCTAAAAGTATCATGGACCCTAGGCACTGAACATAGTGAGCATAGTGGATAAGTTGATCCTGATTATGGTCTCCATGCAGTAGAAGTCTGGTAAAGAATAAATGAGACAATGCATGTAAAGCATTTAGTAAAGTGCCTGACATGTATTAGGTGCTCAATAGATGTTAGCCATTCTTATTTTTGTTATTATCACATTCCTCTTTTGTGTCCTTCACCGAGAGTAACAGAATATAAATGCTTACTAATTTCACTAGTGCAGATTTTACAGTAAGCTGTCTGTAGTGTTAAAAGATAAAGCGAGGCATGTTAAAACCTTAAAGAGTTTATTTGAGCAAAAATCAACTGGAGTCAGCCAGAAGTGGTTAGGGGCTCAGGGAAAGTCTTTGATAGAGAAAAGGCAGAAATGAAGCAAGGAAATGATTTGATTGGCTATAGCGTAAGCGATTGCCTTATTTGGGAAAGCCTAATTGGCTGTTTGTGATGGGTTGTCCTTAGGTTTTGATTTATTCACCTTGAGGCATTTCAGGCTTGGGTTTTGGTTTGCTGACATAGGCAACTAAGATATTAAAGCCACCTCAGTCTAATGACCTCCTGGTTTAATTAACTTATAGTAGCAATAAGAGTTGAGAAATAGAAATATCCCTTTTATTGTGTGTTTAATATATAATATCAATTAACAGATTTATTATGTGTTTGCTTATGTTTCCAGACTTGATGCACACCCTTTATTTACAAAAAGTTACTCCTTGCCAAGAATGTGCTCAGATACCTTCAACTTGAATTTCCCAGTGGAGATTCTTAAACACCAAGTTCTCAGACTCCACCCAAGAGATTCTAGCTCAGTGGCTCTGGAAGAGGATATGAAAATAAGTATTTAAAAACAATCTCACTCCCACGATGATTTTGAAGAGCAGCTAGATTTGTTGGAAACTATCACTATCATAGGCAGGACAGTAGAGAATAGTGGTGGCTAAAAGAATGGCATGTGGGGCTATAGCTAACCCCCTCCCAAACTCTGTAGCCCCCACTCCCCAATCACTGCAAATAAAAACAGTGTGCCTGTTATGTAAATTCAGCTGCAAGACACTCTCTTCCCAACCAGATTGCATCTTTAAGCCTCCTTAGTAAAGTAATTCTGGAGTCATCAGCAGAAGAGATATAATCTTGGTGACAAAATAAAATTATAATGGATTAACCACAGTTCAGGCATACAAAAATGGAATCAGGCCAACATTAAGGATCTGATCTGAGACATGTCTCTGCACCAATGAGAACTTGACCTTTCTTTGAACCGTACCAGACCCAAGGACACTACCAGCAGTATTCAGAACAACACTTGCCAGCTGCAACCTTATGGTCTTAAAGGCTCCTCTTGTAACTATGCAACCCTTTCGGACCCCAAACAGTCCTTACTTAACAGGTAACCTTACTTCCTGCCAGCTCCAATTATAATTCTTGATAAACCACTCATGTCACTAACCGTAACCTTCAGTTTTTGCCTTTATAATTCTCCCCCACTTTGTAATCCAGCAGAACACAATTTAAGTGCTTCTTGGATCTGTGCCTCCCGGGTTGCAGTCCTAATGAGCCCCAAATTAGCACCTTTTTATTTCAATCAGGTCTCTATTTCTGAAATTTTGGTTAACATCCCTTATAGTAGCTTTCAAGGAAATTCCAGGATAGATGTACATATAATGCCAGGAGAGCACACTTTAAGGACTAAGTACTGTAGGCATTGAGCATTCATTTAGAGGAGGAAGCAGTCACTCTAGGCTGAGTTGTTGGGAGAAGCCTTATAGTAAGGAGTGATTTGAGCCGAATCATAGAAGGTAAACCTAGGATGTGTCATGGTCCGGGAAAGGACACTGGACTGAGGATAAGGGATCTAGGAATAACACTGGCTTTGCCATTCACTAGCTGGGTGTTTTTAAAAATGAAGACATAGAAAAATATAACCCTGTCAACATCTATTCTAAACAAAAGAAATCTGATGTAAGTATTAACATTTGCAAAAATATGATTTAAGGCAAAAAACATTATTAACAATAAAGAGGGATATAACATTATGATAAAGAACAGTCTGCCAGGAGGATAGAATCATCATGTACTTGTAGGTACCACCCACTGCACCTCCCCCCCCCAAAAAAAACCAGCTTTGAAATACATTAATACTCAAACTGGGAGAATTTTTGTTGTTTTTTTCCAGTACTTTATTTATTTAATTCTTTTTTTTTATTAAAGTGTAGTCAATTTACAATGTTAGTTTCAGGTATACAGCAAAGTGATTCAGTTCTATATATATATATGCATATTTTTTTCAGATTATCTTCCATTATAAGATAAGCTCATTATAAGAAATTGAACATAGCTCCCTGTGCTATACAGTAAGTCTCACATTGGGAGAATTTAACATATCTCTATTGGATAATCATGGGTCAAGCATTTAAAACATTAATAGGGATAAAGAATAATTGATTTGAACAATAAGAAAAGGGAACTGAGGGGGAAAGGGTATATATAGCTCAAGTGGTAGAACACATTCTTAGCATGCACGAGGTCCTGGGTTCAGTTCCTAGTACCTCCTCTAAAATTAAATTAATAAATAAACCTAATTACCTCCCCCTCAAAAAAAATTTGTTTTAAATGAAAAAAAGAAGGGGAAGCTGAAGCACAGAACTGTGAAATAGCTTGCCCAAGATCACATAGCTAGTAAGAGGCAGAGCCAAGATTCAAACCCAGGAAACCTTCTATTGCCAGCCTGCAGCTGAAGTAGCATTATAAAAATGTATTTACATAAAAATATTAAAAATAGGTCAGTTAAGCATTCAATATTCTACTCAGCAAGAAAGAATAAATCCCAAAAAGAACAAATCAGCAAAAATGGCCAGTATCAAAAGCTAGTTCTTTGAAAGGCCTTATGAAATAGATTTCTTAAAATACTGACAGAAAAACTCAACAGAGAATGAAAATACAAGAGAGAAATAGACAAAGAGATGAGCCAAACAGGGCATAACTAGAGAAATAACAAAGATTTTTTTAAATTATAAATGAAAAGTGTAAAAAACTTTTTGCCAATAAGTTTGAAAACTTTAAAGTGTATTGTTTTTTAGAAAACAAAACTAACAAAATTGCTGAAAAATAACCCAATTAAACAATACCCAGTAAAGAAATGGAGAGTAGTCAGGACAACTCTCCCAACCCTCCTCTCTCCCCTTACAAAAAGAGAAGGTACAGACGATTTTAACAAGCCTTTAAAGAAACAATAATCCAGAGTTTTTAGGAGAAAGAGGAGAGGAGGAAAAGCCGTAAACTTTATTTTATGAAGATGTAATTACCTTGACACCAACATGGGACAAGGACAATACAAGAAAGGGAAATAAAAGATGAAATTTTTCTAAGTAAAATATTAACCAACAAGCCTATAGTCTGAGCCCTGGTGGAATCTATTTGCCATGTGTAAGCAGAGAGAAGGCAGAGGAAATCTTAACCCAGTGAAACGGCTGGGTCCTCCTCACTGAGCAGTTTCCCTGATTATGAAGAATGAGGCCTCCCCCAACATGCAAGGATAATTTTTTCAATTGGATCATTCTATGACGTGAGGAAATGAGTTCTTATTTCCCAGTGCCATTGCCACTGATGATTTGCTGTTCTTCTTGTTCCTAGGTAGGAGGGAATATGCCCGAGACAGTGGTCACCGTTATAACCTCACCAGGATCCTGCACATTCATTACTATACAGGTAATCTAACATTAGATTACCTGCAGCTACAAGAATTCTCCAGGCTCCCTCTACAGCAAACCTTCAACTAGACTAGCTGTTGCACGACAGGACTGCTTTTGGTTTCAGCTGCTTTTGTTCCTCCTCTTTGGACTCGTGCCTTGTAATTTCTGTTTTTATAGTCAACACTTGGCTAAATAGTGGATTCACAAAAAGTACCTTCAGAGTGTCCTTTATAAAAATCTTTTTTTGTTTTAATGAATTAATTAATTTAGTCTTCTCTATGCTGTGGATAAAAAGGCTCTTTGTATCAGAGAGATGGTACTTAATGTGTTTCAATTTTTCCTGATTGTCAACAAGAATCCGGTTGGTAAGAGTTTTAAGAGCCAATTTATTTGCTAGAATATATATAATTATACAATTTGCTATTTGCATGTAGAAGACAGCATTGACTATTCATTAGAAATAAGGGCTTTGGAGTCAAAAAGGTGGGATTCAAAATCTTGGTTCTAGTAGAAAACAGTCTGGAAATAAACACACCCAGTTGTTAATAGAGATTACGGTGTAGGGTGGGCACTCCACTTTTACTTTCCCCCCTTCTGGATTGTTTCAGTGAGCATGTACAACTTTTGTCACTTGAAAGGAAGAGAAGGGAAGGAAAGAGGAAGAGGCAGAGAACAAATCCTGTGACCTGAGGCAAACAATTCTGCCTCTCCATACCACAGTTCACCTATGCATAATATGGAGAATGTTGAAGGATTATGGTGAGGAATACACGAGGCCATGCATGTAAAGCACTTTGCACTTCACTTGGCACAAATTCAGTGTCCAGGAAGTGTTAGCTATTTCCACCAGGCAAAGTGCTTAACTCAGTATCTGGCACGTATGAAGTGTTCGAAAAATGCTAAGTAGTCAAACAAACAAAAAATGGCAGGTATTCTTTTTTCTTACAGTTTTACTGAGATATAATTGACATACAGTACTATATACGTGTAAGGTATACAGCATAACGATTTGAGTTACATACACCATGAAATGATTACCACAAGTCTGGTGAATATCCATCATCTCATATAGAAACAAAATTAAAGAAAGAGAAAAAAATTTTCCTTGTTACTGTCTTAACAACCTTCATGTATGAGGGTTAATTATATTTATCATGTTGTACATTGCATCCCTAGTGCTTACTTACCGTATAACTGGAAGTTTATACCTTTTGACTGCCTTCATCCAGTTCCTTCTCCCGCCACTTCACGCCTCTGGTAACCACAAATCTGATCTCTTTTTCTATAAGTTTTTTTCTATTTGAAGTGAAATTGACCTGCAACACTATTTTATTTCCTGGTGCATAACGTAGTGATTCGATATTTGTATACATTTTCAAAATGATCACCATAAGTCTAGTTACCTTCTGTCATCATACAAAGATACTATGTAATTATTGACTATATTCCCCACAATGTTCATTTCATCCCTGTGACTCATTTTGTGACAGGAAGTTTGTGCTCTTAATATCCCTTACCTCTTTCTCTGCTCCCTACAAATGGTACGTATTCTTACTAACTGTATTTTTAAAATTTATTTTACTTATTTTTTTTATTCCTGGAAAGTTTTTCCTGTATTTTGCTTTGAGTACTTTGCAGTTGGTTCTTTGTTTTAAGGAAAAGATAAGCCCAGATTGAAGGACAGTCTTCAGAATAACTGGCCTAGACACTTCAAAAATGTTAAAGTCATGAAAATAAAGAAAGATTGAGAAACTATTAATACTAATGTTCTGATATTGATAATTGAATATTCATTAATATCTGAAACAATGTTAAAATAATTAATTACTAAATGTAAATAATGTAGAAACACTGTGATTCATCGCTAATAGGATGTAAATTGATATGACTTCCCTGAAGGATAATTTGGCCAAACCTTTCAAAAGCAGAAATGCAATTATCGCTTGATCCAGAAATTCCATTCTAAGAAATTATCCTACGAAGATGCTTCCATTTGTGTGAAATGATACGAATAACATGGTATATTCATTGTATGAGCAAACTTTGGAAACAGAATAGTAGACCATCCGTAATGGGATGCTTAAGTAAATTATGATATACAATAGAGTAAAATGAACTTATCACAGCTTTAAATGTACTATTCTAGAAGGAAACCCAAGAGAAGGTCAGTTAAGAGAATAAGGCAAAGTATAGAACATTGGGCAGAATATGCCCCCATTCGTTATGTGGAGAAAATGTATGTGTGTATGCAAGTATATGTATTGATTTTATATGCATCTATTTATATCTTATATGTAAATATACATACATTTGTATACTTCTACATGTGTTTATATACATACCTTTTAATACATTGATATATGTGTATATTTTTAAATGCATAGAATAGCTCTCTAATGATGCCTAAAAAAATTGAGGAAATTGTTAGCTCCTGAGAGGGGACTGAGTTATTGGGAATCAGAGGGTGAGAGAGACTTAATCTTGGTATACTATTCTGTGTTTTTTGTGTTTTGTGCAATATACAGGTGTTACATGCGCAAAAATAATTCAAGAATACAGACAATGCAGACTGTTGGAGAGCCAATCTGAAATCAATTAAAAGGAGTGAACATTTGTTAATAACATGAGTACAAGCAGATGGAAAGGGAACTGTACCGAACAAATCTCCAAAAATAGAAACAATCTACTGGAGAAAGAGAAACATGCCGTGTCCAAAAATCTGTTTCCAGCTTAAAGGTTATCTTTTTTATGGAGTGAGGATTTTCACATGACCCATTTCTTCTTTTTATTTTTGCAAGACTAAGGTAAAGTGCTTAATTTTCTGGTATATGAATTAAACTTCAGTTAAAGAATATAATGAATTTTTAAGAATTTAATGATGATGACACATTGATACCATGGAATACTACTCAGCAATAGAAAGAAAGGAAGTATTGATGCACACACAAGTTGGATGAATCATCAAGGAATTGTGCTAATTGAAAAAAGCTGGTCTCAAGTGGTTACGTGCTGTAAGATTCCATTTATATGGCATTCTCAGAAGCAAATCTATAAAAAGAAAGACAGATCAGTGGTTTTCAGTTTACCCCAAAAGAAAAAAAATTCAGAAGAACTGTATAATAATTTATTTTGATTGTTTTTAACTTAAACACACATGTCAAAATGTAGGGGTTCTTTCAAGAGCGTAGGCCCCAGGTAGAGTTCATAATTTTAGCATTTAAATTTTGCTTCTGTACCAAGAGTCAACGGGGTTTTGATGATGCTTTGATACTGTGGTCGTACTGTCCTGTTCAACATGGTAACCCTAACCCTCTCCATGATTCTGCCAGAGAGAGTCAGGAAGTAATTCCAGAGCCACATCATTACAGAGACACAGTGGCTACACACAGTAGTTCCCCTCCCCTGTGAATGTGCCAGCCAAGTAGACGCTGGTGGATGGTCACGACACACCCAGTGACACCGTTTTACAGTTCATTGTTATAACACATCCTAGGTGCTGGTAGGAGGAGGACTCAACAAACGTGAAGAACCAGGGAGTCTAGGGCAGTGTCAGATCTAGAAAAGCAATCCCAGCACAAGTTCCGTTTCCCATAGTGGCTTAGCAACTTCACGCCTCTCCAAGGCAGAGAGGAAAATCAAGTCAAACGGGCCTTCCTGAAGACAAGGTGTGAAATACCAGATGCCACCCTTGTTCCTGCTGGTGACGCTAAACACATATTTGTTGATATGAATTATTACACATTCTCCCCACTTCTCACCTAAGCAGTCAAAAGTCAAAAAAGGCAGTCACCTAACTCTCTTATTGGAGACGTAGACAAAAACACCTACCTAGCATTCTTTTTTTTTAATTTTATTTATTTATATTTTAATTGAAATGTAGTTGATTATATTGTTTCAGTTTCAGATGTACAGCAAAGTGATTCAGATGTATATTTTTCCCAGATTATTTCCCAGTATAGGTTATTATAAGATATTGAATATTTTTCCCTGTGTTATACAGTAAATCCTTGTTGCTTATCTATTTTATATATAGTAATGTGTATCTGTTAGTCCCATACTCCTAATTTATCCTCCCCTCCCTTTCCGCTTTGTTAACCACAAGTTTGTTTTCTATATCTGTGAATCTTTCTGTTTTGTATATGGACTTATTTGTGTTATTTTTCAGATTCCATGTATAAGTGATATCATACAATTTTTGCTTTTCTTTGTCTGACTTACTTCACTTAGTATGATAATCTCTAGGTCCATCCATGTTGCTGAAAAAGGCAACATTTCATTCTTTTTTATGGCTGAGTAATATTTCACCACACACACACACCCCACATCTTCTTTATCCAATCCTCTGTTAATGGACACTTGGGTTGCTTCCATGTCTTGGCCATTGTAAATAGTGTTGCTGTGAACGTTGGGGTTCATGTAGCTTTTCGAATTAGAGTTTTCATCTTTTCTAGATATATGCCCAGGAGTAGGATTGCTAGATCATTATGGTAAGTCTGTTTTTAGCTTTTTAGGGATCCTCCCTGCTGTCCTCCATAGTGGCTGCACCAATTTACATTCCCACCAACAGTGTATGAGAGTTCCCTTTTCTCCACAGCCTCTCCAGCATTTATTATTTGTAGACTTTTTATTCTTTCATAGCCTACTTATTTTACATGTTTGTCCTAGACTTCATCCCAACTAACCCTAGAAAAAACCACTTGTTATAGAGCCATATGGGTTGATGGTTCAAATCATCCCTCCACTGAGGAAGAAAATGTCCTGAAGAGAAGAATGTATAAAGTATTTCTGGTTGCAAGGGCTCTGGAGTCAATGGCTTGAGCTTGAGTGCTAACTCTGAAATGTGTCAGCTGTGCGACCTTAAGTAAGTAACTAACCTTCTCTGGCCTCAGTTTTCTCTCTGTTAATTATACATGCTAAAAGGAACTAACAGAACCAGTGATAAGATTAAATGACATAACGCATCTAGTACCAGGTCTGAGGCTTAACGCATCTTCAGGAAGTGTGAACCATTTCCACATGCTAGGTCATTAATGTGACCAGAGAGGGATGGGAGGTGTCAGGAGGTGTTTAAATCCCCTTCTCTGCCCAGTTCCTCTCTATGCTTAGGGTGAACTACAACATTCCCAGGGCAACTCTGCCTGCTTCCCTGTTGGACTAGTGTCCCATTTCTTTATGTCCTTTGCTGATTTGCCATTTAATTTGGTAAACTAATCATCATGGAGATGCTAGTGACTTTATTTGACTTCCCCACTTAGAGAGTGATGGCTTAAAAAATGTACTTTAGGCTGGGAGCAGCTGAGGCCAGTCAGTAGCCTTCCAGTAATACCCCTTTCCACAGAGTTCAGCTGCACAGCATGGCTGTGAGCCCTGGGTGAGCTGGCCACCTTGCACTACTGGCTGGCTGGGTGGGTGAGTGAGGCAGGCCACCGTTTTCATGCTCCAGAGTCCTTGTGCACATTGATGACACCTGGCTTTCTGCTTCCCTTGCTTTCTCTTCCCTCCCAGATCAGAGTGGAAATAGGCTCATTAAAGCTTTATAGGGATAGTGCCAGTAAAGAACTTCAGGAGCTGGGCTTGGTCTGGAGAAGACTCATTAGTAAAGATCAACTGTGTGCTCTGTCCTGACAATTTTAGGGAGCCGGGGGGGAAAGCCCTATAAAAAAAATATATATGTATATATATATATATATATATATAGTGTGTGTGTGTGTGTGTTTTGTGTTTCTTATGTAAATTATGAATTTAAAAAAATCGCTACTACTTGCAGACATATATTATTGTGCAACAGAAAATTATGTATAAGAATATCACACAAATTGGAAGGGTTAGTCCTAGAAAGGTTTGACACAACACAGTGATGCCACGGTATTAAAAATGGATGAAACTATGATTGAAAAAAGAATCCATAAGTCCCCAGAACCTGAGAATATATGATGGTATATACAGCAGGTGGGGATTGAGGTTACAGATGGACTGAAGGTTTCCAAGGAGATGACTTTAAAATACTGAGATTATTCTGGATTACCTGGTTGGGCCTCATGTAATCACAAAGTAGGAGAGGGAGTCAGAAGAGGAAGTCAGAGAGAAATCAGAAGAAGCTTTGCAGGAAGAACCTCCCTCTTCTCCGAATCTATCTCGTTACTGTTCTATTTGTCTCTCTCCCTCCATAGCTTAACTTCTTGAAAGGATTGTCTCTGTTCTCCATCCAGACTTCCTCACTTCTCATTCATGACTTAATTCATGATGCCTTTGCCTCTACAATCTGTTGAAATTATGTTCCCCAAGGTCACCAGTTACCTCCTTGTAGCTAAATCCAGTGACTTTTTTTACTTCTTCTCTTAGAGACCTCTGAGAACCCCTCTGCATTGAGATAGTGGTCCCCACCCTTGATGTATGTGGTCCCACACTCTGCCACTTCTCCAACTTCCTCTGTTCCTTTTTACTCTCATTTGAGGTTAGTGCTTCCCTTGCCTGTCTCCTAAATAATACTTATTATTGCACGCCCTCCTCTTCTAAAAATTCTTCTAAAAATCATCTCTATCCACAACCTCAGTAAGAAGGCATATATTGATGACTCCCAAATATAAGCCTCCAGCCCACACTTTCCTCCTGTGTTTCAAACCTCTATATCCTGGTTGCCTTTTGGAGCCTCCACTTGGCTGTTTCACAAACACATTCACCTTAGACTCCCAATACTCCAGTTTGGTGCAAATAGTTAATTATGGAAGGAGGTGATTCCAGGAGGCATTCTAAGGGAATGAGACGTGAGACAAGAAGAGAAAGAAAGCCAACAGAGGGGAGGTTAACGAACAGGTTATCGCTGTTGGTACCTGAGGCTCAGTCTTACTGGGAACCCTCTAGACACTGGGTGGAAGGTGCCTGAGAACTGACGCATAGAAAGACAGGAAAGCTGAGGTTCCAGTTCCTCAGTTCTTGTCCCTCACTGCCATTGGTCAGTCCTGGGACATCAACTCCCTGGAACTTTGGGTCTGACTACATGTGCCCTGCAGCAAAGCTCAGTCTAGTGGCCAAAGAATGACCTCAGGCAGAGTGATGCAGAAGCTTTCTTCACATGCAGGAACTGTCTGCAGGCAACTTGAATGGTAGGCCTAGGGGATATGAGTGGGCCACCATCTGTGTCCACTACATTCCTCAAATCAGTGTGCCCCAAACTGAATTGAAGGTCTTAAAGTCTGCTCATTTATTTTAAATAAATGACCCCTCTATCAACCTAGTGTCCAAGACAGATATTGAGCAATCTTAGTGTCAGGCTAGAGTACCCCCTCTCCTACACCATCCATGTCACATCTGTCACCAAGTCCTGTCAATTCTGCCTTCTAAATTTTTCCCATCTTGTGCATTCCACAGCCAATCCATAATCTCAGGTGACCATCATCTCTCACTTAGATGGCTGCATAACTCCTGCAGTGGTCTTTTCCTCTCTTATCTCTAGACTTTGTCTTTCCCAATCCACTTTCAGCAATCAGAGTGGTCTCCAGAAACAAATTCAATTGTGCCACTTCTGTGCTAAAAATTTTTCAGTAACTATTTTCATAGAGATAGAGGCCACACTTCCTAACATGTGTTGCTAGACTTTCCATGATCTTGCATTTGCTTACCCTTTAACCTGATGGCCCATCCCTTTCCTATTCAGTTATTCCCTATTTAAAAAAAAAAATCACAAAACCATATTTCTCTCCTTTACCTGCAAGTCTTTCTACTCTCAGTTCTTCAAATGTGCCATATTCTCTCCAACCTCACGGCCTCTGCTCATTCTCTCTTCTTCTGGTTAAGTCTTAACTAT